TTTTTAATCTCTTATATGTCACAATTTGCTGGTGTTTGATTGTTTTCAACGTCTTTATGAAGTTCACTTTTGCGTAAAATAGCTTACAAATTGCCGAGGGCATGAGTAATAGGACAAATATAATGCTTAGTTAGAACAAAGTCTACAACTACAACTACAAAGCTAAAGTTGCTGAATATCGATCGTACAAATGCGATTAGAGCAACAACTCGCTGATTGAATGGGAAGAATTGCAAACCGAGAAGTCTGACAGCTTTTTCCAGTATTAGGACATTGTCCTGAGAAAGAGAATGTCCAGAAGGATATTTGAAGTGCTCGGACGGTGAGCAATGTATCGACGCTAGTTAAGCAATGTATGTGATGGAGGTTCACAAGTGGGCACGGAGTAGCTCCTCCATTTTGGCTTGCCAGCTAGGCAGCCCCATCTTATTCTTAACGTTAATGCCTAATATTGATATTTTCACATTTGTTTTATAGTAACCATTTCCTAATATATTTGCCATTATGTTGGTAGGTTTATCCCAACATCCTCCAAATTACCGTCTCTCAATCGTCCAATTAGCTGGAACTGAAACTATCAGTCCAGCATGAAGTAACTCAAGTAAATCTGTGCTTGACACAATGACTCAAAAGTACAGTGTATTCCAAATAAGACCGAATCCGGTCATTACAACTATGAACTAAATTATGAATGAAATTGTGAATGAACTTGCGAATTGAACTATCATTAAAATTAAAGGTCATTAACCAAAGCTCCTACATCCATTGCCTCTTCCTAAAACCCATCGGTTTGTCGTCAGGCCATTGGCCCAGAACGCAAGGCCTCGTGAACTTCACATAGCCATGTGCCTACGCGTACTGCGTGACGCGCTACTGCAAGTGCAAGCGAGAGGGCTCTGGTTAGAGCAAGTAGGATCCTACTTGTGAAACAAGCGCGTCACGCAGTACGCGTAGGCACAAGTAGGATCTTTGCCGCCTCCGCACTCCGGCGGTCGCGCGCTACTGCAAGCGAGAGGGCTCTGGTTAGAGCAACTCGTGAACCCTCGTGTCGTAACCGGTTTGCAGAAATCAAGCCCTGTGGATGCCTAGCCGTTAGTCTAGCTAGGCTGGAGCCTCAACTGAGCACGGAGACTCGACACCCTGTGATGGCACGGACTAAAGAACACCTTTTCCGTCCTTACAAGAGCAAAGAGACACTGGCAGCGGTCCACTCTACCCATGATTATGGGCTTTGGTCAAATATCAATATCATCTCTTTTTGATTAATGTCAGGGTTTACCGGGCCGCGCTCAGCCTGTCATTCCGCCGAATCTCTATTCGTGTTTATGAACATGATAGCTTGAGGTCCCCAGGTAATGTCAGGGTACTTTACAAAGTCGAAATATAAACTGATAACTTCATTAATAAGGAGGTAATTTCAACGATTTCGAAATTTTATCTTTGAAAACATTTCCTTGTGTTCAGGTAAGCATATCTGTCCATCACTGACTGAATATGTTACCTGAGGACCCCAGGCTATTATGTTCATTAACATATAGATTTGGCGGAATGACAGGCTGAGCGCGGCCCAGTAATGAATATGCCACTCATTCAAGTTGGCATTAAATTCATATATAATGCCATTTAACTGTCGTGGGAAAACACGAATTGCGAAAGAGCAAAATTCTCACCTTTCGCACGTGCAAACTTTTTACTGGGCCGCGCTCAGCCTGTCATTCCGCCTAATGTCTCTATGTTTATGAACATGATAGCCTGAGGTCCCCAGGTAAGTAAACTTTGAGCAAACGTTGCGTGCGCATCCAACATTGAATCACCTTAAATTTGTGCATATTGGTATTTTATATATAGTTTGATAAGCAAGCGAAGTTTCAAAATATATTATACTAGAAACCCGCTAGTCGAAAGCTTTGTTCGAGGAAATTTTAAAAATCAGTTATGTTTTAATTTCTCTTCATCATATAGCTCTGTTATACTGTAGACATAATGGAATTTATCTAACAATGGCGACAGCGTTGTTAGTATTCGGATTCCCAAAACGATACTTTTTACCGCATCAAAAAATACCAATCACAACCAAAGTTATGAATATAAGTCATAGCGTGAGCGTAAATGGTAAATGTGAGCTAGTTTTGAAATTATGACGTAGCATACAGCATAACAACGCGCGTAGTTAAAATGTTTTTGCTCGCGCACGTGCATTTTAACGTTGCTACGCAACAGCGCAGTAAACCTTTGCTAAAATAACGACATTATTCTAACGGTTATTTTACCTCACTTCCGACGTTAATTATAAAAAATCTAAAGCCTAAATCAAAATTCTAAGAATGCTATAGCCTATTCCTATCCTTTTTCTACAACCCTGCTAAAAATAGCGAGGTTTCAACTCCATTTGCGAGCTGGGTTTGGCATCACCAGAGGGTCATTTTGAGGTCGAATCTCGGTGTTTTTTCTTCTATGTCCCCGTTGCCGGGGAAATTTCGTCAAGTTTAAAATATAATATAGATAATATTTCGAGAAAAAAGTGGCGCGCGCTACTTCGAAGAAATTTAGACGAGTAACATCCGTCAAACTTTAATAGCAAATATCTTCATTTCAAATACGCCGCGCCATGACACATAAAAATATGTGTAGGACGCACGGTATGAAGGAGCAAGCTAAGAAAACTTTTCGGTAGATTTTCAGAATGCTTGAGTGCAATTATCTAACTTCATTGTTGCCTCAATGCTCAAACTTTCAATAAAATTACCGTACCCCTTTTTATGTATTATGTAAAATAGATTATTGAAGAGTTTTAATTTTACTTTCTCAAAAATCAAGCTTTAACATTTAAAAACCGTTAACTCAAGTGGTAATGATGACGTTAAATTATTTTTCATACAATGCAATGTAAACTGAAGTACGTCTAATCAATTATCTTCAAGACCTGTGCTCCGAAATGGCTGTACAGTGTACCTTTTTAAAGCTTAACCTTTGAATCTACGGACATTTGAATATAATCTATAATTGATTGCCATGCAAATCGTCTATCTATAAATTTGATTAACGATGTCAATAACTCACAGCTCGGCGAGGCCCAGTGGTGCATTTCGTTAACGGGTGATACTCGTAAAATATCTGTTCCATATTACATATATTGGACCGTCGACGAGTCCAACTCGGCGCGCGTCTTGGTAGGTTGTAAACCTACAATGCATTTCGCCGATCTACCGAATTTGTGGTTGCGAGAAGAATTATTTGATGTGCAGCCTAGTACTAGTACATAGTACAATAGTAGCGCATCGCGCTATACTACAAATAAATATGAAATATGCTTTAAGACAATCTGTCACAAAACAAGGGTTCCAGAAAATCCACTTTCCGATACACCTAAAACTTTTTTCGCAGTCGATTTGTTTAACGTCTGACACACACTGCAAAATTTCAGATCTCAACACAATTTTATTTTTAAATGGTTTTAAAGCACCTGAATCAGAATATGGCGATTTCCTTACTGGCGCGGCGCTCAGCCAGCAGCCTGTCATGCCCGCCTAATCTTAATAAACGGGTGATACTCGCAAAATATTTGTTCCATATATTACCTTGTATCACGTTTTTGCGACCCCAACGGTCTGTTTCACAATATATATAATAAGGTGGGGAGCCCGCGCACGTATTCGAGCGCGGGCGGGTCATACAACGTAAGACAAATATTACCGTCGACGAGTCCAACTCGGCGCGCGTCCTGGTAGGTTATAAACCTACAACCTAATCTCTATGATTATGAACATAAATATAACAGCCTGCTTTGATTCACGATGTCAATCCTTCGCATCTCGCCGATCTGCATACTGGTTGCAGAAGCATTATTTGATGCGCGCGCGACCCAGTAGTGCATCGCTACAACACCTGCTAGGTCCCCTGTTGACGATGTTACTCGCAAAAATTCTTCGAATGTAGCGCGCGCCGCCTTCTTCTCGAAATGGCCCGATGCAAGTGCTACGAAAGTAGCGCGCGCCGGGTCAACCATTATCAATGGTTTAAGGTCTCCCAGTAAGGCGATTTTCGTGTTTTTTGCGTATTTTGCGCAAATTTCTTAAAAACCTCCATATAACTAGTAGTATTTCTTATCCTCGTCATCCTTTTGACACTGAATGATAATTTTTGAACTTACTAAGTAATATGCCTGCTAACTACTTCCTTTGATCTTAATGCCTGGAAAACCAGCTGTAGCGCCGCGCCGCGCGATGCACTACTTACTGGGCCGCGCGTCCAGTAATGCTTGAGCTTCTTCGCTAGATCGGCGAGATCAGATGCACCATGCACTGGGCCTCGCCGAGCTGTGAAGGATTGATATCGTGAATCAAGAGAAACAGTAAAAGGGGTATACTACTAACTATAGTAAAGGGGGTTAATTATATAAGTAGTGAGTTAGAGTATAATGGCGGCGGTCGTGCTTGCCAGCACTGTGATATCTGTAGCTGTTTCAGTTTTAAAATCAAAAATTTCGATATCCGATTGCCAAAAGACGTCATGAAAAATTGCTCCCACAAAACTGCGTTGCACAGGGGGAATTGAAATACTGTAATAAAATTAAAACAGTAATAAAATTAAAACCTTTCCACATAGGTATCAGGTAATACTAATAAGTTATAGTACATAGAAAGTGTATATAGGATTCAATTCTGGCAAACCTTAATTATTGGATCAAGTGTTTTTTGAGGTTTCACAAATCAATCATCGTATCACACAACAATTGAAGATGGATTCAACAGTATACGTATAACTATACATACATTTTCATGATGATACTTATTTTGGAATAAAAAACGAAAGTGTAGGATGTGGAGCAGGTACACATACACACTGGCACTCGATGATTAGCGATATTCTCATCGGTATACAGAGAATACAGGCGGGGGACAGTTCGCGCGCGCCCCCCCCCCCACCCCCCCCCCCCCCTGACCTCTGACAAACCCCCCACCATTTTTTTTTTTTTTTTGTTTTTAAAAAAAAAGCCAATTTTTCCATTTCTTTGCACATTCAAATACAATTCTAATTTCAAGCTTTCCATTCAAGTTCAAGCCAACTTTGTTCCTACATTCTTAGATACATTTCAAGTCGCCTTACCACCAATGAGGGGTTTCATTTTTACGTAAGAAGCTGCATTTAGTATTACTTGACAATTCGACTATGTTAAAACTTTAAAATAAAATTAATCGTAAACATTTAAAAAATTTGACTTAAAGATAAATTTGCCGCCGAACAATAAGTTCAGAGTTCCTTTGTCACAACTCCAAAGAAATGGAAATTTCTCCCGGCGATATCAAAACAGGAGTCGAACACATGTCAGAATACGCCAATAAATCACGTTCTGGGAGCACAGTCCCAATGACAAGGAAAATCAGGTGATGTAACAAAAACCGAGTCTGTTACTGATGACGTCATACTATTTGGTGATATCATACTATCTGGTGACGTCATACTATTTGATGACTTCATAGTTATACTATCTGGTGACGCCACGTAGTCAGGTAACGTTACCTCAGTTAAACTTAAAGTCGATGTTATTTGTGTGAGAGAAGTTTCCTCGTTGTCGACATCTTCGTAATCAGTTTCTTCTCCTCATTGGCATTATGTTTGACTGAGAAGGTCTCATAGTCTATAGGGCGGTCGGTTTTCTGAGAAGATACACCCGGGAGTGTCTCGTAGTCTGATTCAGCCTCGTTACTTACAGGCTCCAGTTCATTTCCAGGCACGTTTAGTCTGGTATTCTCGTATATTTTCGAGGGGGAGGAGGAGAGGGTTGCTTTACGAGTCAATGACATGCCTGGAAGAGTCTGACAAACATGTACACTGTTACAGCACGTGCACAAAATGGAAGGACGCCGGTCAGTCGGCACAGCGGGAGGGGTGCCGAGGATATCCGATATTGATTTGCCATATTTCTTCCGGTTAAAACTACGGTTAAAACTACGTGACAGGACTCCCTTCCGCTTGAGTTTTACTTTGTTAGATCTGGAGGAGGTGGGAGAGTAGTCGATCAGACAGCTTGCATGTTTAGAGCGATCAGTGTGGGTCTGTGAGTTAGCACGTGACCTGACGATCACCCTGTCGGAGTCTAGGTTCCATATTTCATGAGCTGATCTGGACTTGGATATTGGGAGATGGTTGACTGAGAGGGTGCTTTGGGAGGGTTCAGAGATAAGGGGGGTAGGAGAGTTCTGGAGTGAAGTATCACGAAGATGAACTGAAGCTTCTAGAACTTCATCAGGTATTTCGTAGTCGCTGTACACTGAGAGGGGAACACTGATTCCTGAGGAAACTGACACGGTCCTACAAGGGAGACCGAGTTAGTGGCCATACCGTACAATTACTGGAGTATTGTTATATTTTTGGGGGACAAAGACACAAGCCCACTTTAAAACGACTAGTTAAGTCCAATAACCACAAAAATGTATATGTATGTAATCTACATAAAAATACAAACCTAGTTGGAACCATGTGTGGGCTGCCCTCACTAGCTCCATTACAAGGAGGAGGCTCGGAGTTGAGGACAGGAGGTTCAGAGTTGAGGACAGGTCCGTTAAAGGTAGGAGGAACTAGGAGACAAGTCTCACTTTGAGACGTCTCTCTCTCATACGATCGTCTTGTCAACTTGTGGGGAACTGGAGACTTTGAGTTTGACCCCATCCCTGAAATCAAATTCATAGAGCTATAGCTGGTGCCTCAAGGTGAATAACTTTCATTTTAGAATCAAATCAGGTTATCCAAAAATATTCTTCAAAAGAAAATTGTTTGAGGGAAAATTAGAACGAAGCTTACATTTTTTGGAGCTGATGAGGAGGTTTCTGAAGGACCGTTTCTCCCAGCTGTCATTTTTGTTTGGTAAAGTTTCGTAACCACACTCGTCTTTTACCGGTCCCTTCTGACGAATCTTCCTGATGAAGCCAGGAATAATAACACAAAATCCAATCCTATCAGTAGATATACTTTTCACTGAACTGCAATACTTTTGACTAGCTTATCGGACTTTATTTGAACGGACATTAATTGGACGCTGCAGGCCCTATACTAGTGTTCATTTTAATGTCCGTTCAAATTAAGTCCGACAAGATAGTTAAATTTAATATATCAAATGAATGCCTTTGAGCGTTCATTTTAATGTCCGTTCAAAATTATGTCCGTTCACAAAATGTCCGGTCAAGTAACATCCGATAAGGTAAACTACAATTTACTTCAAAATTTGGGAATAAAAGGAGCTCCGAAAATTCTCCATATCAGTCATATAAGAAATAACTAAACCTAGACAACACAAATACATTTTTCACAGACTTGAAGCAAACCTAAATGAAGCATGAAGAGCTGAGCCGATCCTCTTAAGAGAGGAGTGTGCTTCTTTCTTGTCCTGGAAGAGCTGATCAGCATCCTCGTACTCATCACTACTACAACTTCTGGTATCAAACTCTTCCTGATGGGGGAATGCCCTCTTTAGAGGAGACCGCTTAAGCGAAGAGCACCAAACTAAAAATATCATCGGAAATGTAAGAAAATGGATTTAGGAGTAGACTTCGAAGAAGCAAATTGGTTCTAGACAATGGCAAGCAATCCTCGCATGACTCATGAGGCTTTTAACCAGTGCCCTATCAAAAGTTCATTACGAAGTGACATGATCCCCTAGAGGTGATCTGATTCTGATTAGGTTGGAAAGTTACGATTGTCAGACAATCCATGCAATTAGACAATACCTCAATCTTCACGGCTCTAATATCTGATCACAACGTATAAGAAATTCGAGAACTTTACAATGTACAGTTAGACCCCGATTTACCGCAAAACCCGATTTACTGCGGCCGTTTTCTTCCCATTAATAAGCTAATAGGTCTAAACTAACATAATGTGAAAAAACAAAACCCAAATTTACCACTGCTGCTTCCTGCCACCATACTCCGCAGTACTTTGGGGTTTAACAGTTAATCACAGATTAAAAGTGATAATTATATACCTCATTAAAGAGAACAGAGTTAGGGCGATCCAAACTGCCAGGAGGTCTGATTTGAAGGGCTTGCCTGAAGTTCATCAGGTCGTTCAGACTGGACACACGTCTCATCTTAATAACTCTGCGGCGAAACAAAATGATGAGACAGAGAGACCCTTCAGTTTTCTTCTCACAATACGAGATATCATTTCTAGAAGAAACCGTTGTACTACCACCGATAGCAGCACAGCACAACATATCAACAAGTATAACTGTGTAGTTTTACTTCTGGACACACACACACAACCACACCTCACATGCACACTGCGTCTCCATTGGAGCACATCTAATGAACATTTAAATGGCAGTCTGGCACTGTTTTAGGAAGCTGGGTCTCGACGTGCAGTTAGTCGGGGTGTCTTTGAGCGTCTCCTCCTGGCCTGCCCTACAGCCTAGGGCGTTTATTGGGAGATTCTTTTGAAAAGTTCGTGTGCGCCTACTAGGTCGGTCATTAGGGATTGGTTAGTTGTAGATTTGCTGATTGTTTGATCCATTTTTTAAAGAATTGTGAGTAATCTAGCTTTGCCGCGCCAGTACTTCATGACCATGTTTTATGTAGTAAGACTTCAAATGGAATTAAAAAGTTACAAGCAGAAAAACTATACATGACAAAATTGCAAACGCTGCTGTCTAGATTAGAATGATAAACACAGACGATATTCAATCTAATTCCAATACTCCAGGATATACAGATGAGTGGTCCTTACTTTTCTTGGTGGCACAAAGCCAGGTAATAAAGTAAGGGCAGACACGTCACACACAGTGATAATTTTACAATATTATGATGCTCGAAGTTTGGGGAACACGGGACTAAAATTGGTTCAGTTTCGAATCGTTGGTGTCTTTAGAATCAAAATTTGATCTGGAGAAGGATCGCTCACTAGAGTTGATGTTATTTGAACTGGAAGTGTATGTAAATGAGCTACTAAAGGTAGAAGAGTCAGAATCTGAAGTTCCCTCTGATATCTGGTTTCTAACATCCGGTTTGTCAGTTTGTCCGTCTGGCCGTTTGTCTGTTTGTATTACAATTTGTTCATTTTGTCGACTGGGCAGATTAGGAGCGTTTTCATACATTTCCTCGAGAAAGATACCCTCAGTTAAAAATGGGTTGAGACTGTTATTACGATTGATACTACTCAACCGATGAATGGAATCCTCTCCCAGAAAAACACCGGACTGGAATAATTTGGGGCCCTGAGGTGGAGGTCGGTTCAGGGATAAAGTCTTGATTTTGTCGATGTCCTTGCTAATTTGTTTGTCAGAAGAGTGGTTCTGTTTGTGTGGGAGTGAGTAGAGTTTGTTGTTGGGGTCCAGTCTGTCAATCTTGTCTGTCTTGTCAGGCATTTGTTCAGTGTTAGTGTAAGTCGCCTCTTCACGAGCCTTCCCTCGCTTTCCTTTCCTAAAACACAGAACAAATTAAATATATCCTGGGTAAAAAGGGTAGAAATTACCTAAGCTGACGGGTTGACCCGAATTAGCTCAATATTGGGTCACAGTTAGACATAGATTAGTTGCTTAATAATTTACTCAGAGTGACTCTGACATTTAGTTAATCCTAGCAAACCTAGTATGAGCATCTCAAGTCGATACAACGAAAAGAACGAATAGTTGACTTGACTGCAGTCGGTATTAACAGTTCGATAAGGCACCAATAAAACCTAGTTCTCAGTCTCACAAAGTACTCGTTTTGACAGCTGGTATAATTTGTCTGCTGATGTAAGCAACTGTTTGCTGTCACCTATCAAGATCTAAACCAAATGTGGTTCAGTAGGGCGCCGCCCCAACAGTGGTCGACTCAACAAAATGAGAGAACGGTGGACTTACTTGGGACGGGTAGGTTGGGGAGGGAGTAGTCCTGATTCTAAGTTATTATACTCTCTGTCATAGTCACTCTCTGTCGTACTCAGATCATCAAATTCAGCTGAGCTGGTACTCAACAGGTCCATTGTAGCTCCGGTGTTTCGTCCAGTTCCTGTGCCTGGAGTTTTATTAATGTTAACCATGATTTGAACCCCTTCACGCGACAAATCAGGTAATACAGGACAGATCGATTTGAAAGAACAATGTATGTCCTCATCATTTCAACATCCGCAACTAACCATTCTGGAAGTCGAGAGGATCAGCGTAGGTGACATCCCCACGAGGCAAGGAGCTGTCACCTTGTTGTGGAGATGTATCTCGTGTCAAGGTGATGGGGATACGGGATATTGAGCCAGTTCTAACGGGGGTACCTGACAGTTCACCTCCTCCTCCTGGCAAGGTAAAATAGAGGGGTCTCTGTGCGTGCTCTTCTCTTGCCACGTCCACTTCTAAATGAGGGGGCACACAATTAAATAACAACTACTAGAATAAGGGTTTGCAGCAACAGTTGGGAGTTGGATTACTTTAACTCTATGGAGATTGAAGAGAAAACAAAATAGAGAACCATTAAAGCAGTAATTAGAGTTTGCTTCAGTATTTGGGAGCTCAATTATACCTGATTTACTTAAAATAATGCAATTACACGGGTATTGAATGACAAATGTACTGAAATCAAGATTGTACAGCAAATGAGATTAAGCGAACTGAGGTAATTATATTTTGTTGTCAAGCGAACGATTTTAATGAGCTTACTAGAATTAACAAGACTTCTTGCTGTTTAAAACCGTAACGTAAAGCTGTAAGCTAATTCTCTTCGTATGAAAATAATTTCCGCTTTACAGTAAAATCAGACAATTCTGTTAGTTAAAGGAATTTCATCTTACGACACTTGGACCGAATTCTCTTAGGGTTGATGATAGAAATTAGAATTACGCTTAGGATTGGGCTCAGGCGTAACTCCGTATCTTGAATTAAAGATCTTGGATCTAAAGTCGTGAGATGAATTATTCAATTATTGAGGGGTGGCAAGTCTCCGAAGTTTTGCACCAACTCTGTTCACTTTACCTTGTTGGTCGAAGAATATCTTGTCTAAAAGCTCTGTGTTTGCGTATTGAAGACGTCTGCTATCAATAAACTTGTTAGTCAGCGCGACCTCGGATCCTTCAAGAAGACGTTCGAGCACTAACCGGATCTAAAGTGAACGTAAAGTTAACGTAAAGTTAACGTTGTTTTCAGGAAAGACAACAACTAAGGAAATGACTTGATAATGAACTTTGGACACGAACGCGGCCAATTCCATGAAGATATTACACCCTCCGAAATCGTGCTCTCAATTACCAGAGAAGAGGGGTAATTATAAAATCAGTTATCAGCGACAGTCATTTTGACGAACGATAACATTTTAACACTAAACGGAGGGGCCACGAATTGGACCCTTGTAATCTTATACAGGGGACCGAGTGTTCTAACAATTACCAAAGGCAACCTGTTATATCAATGTTCCTTTTATCTCAGTAACCTTCAGTGGGCGTGGGGTACGTGGGAGGATACATTGGAGGCGGAGTTATAAAAGCACTCTTACCTGACTGAAAGAAGGTCTGTGGTGGGGATAAAGGTTGAAGCACTCGCTGAAGAGCCGAGCTACACTCGTATCACCGGGTGGTGGTGTTAACTTGTACTGCCCTGTTCTGGTCTGGTTCACCACCTCATCTACTGTCAGATCTAGAGATGAGGGGACAGGTTACTAACAGGTTACTAACAGGTTACTAACACTGACGTCTGACACTTTCATCGTGTCGAGAGATGCTAATTAAAGTTACGGAAAAGAATTCCAAGATTTCAGTTGGTCGGTATAACTATAATATGTTACAGTGCACAATTACTAGATTACTAGATAGTCGACAACGACCAATCAACAGTTTATCATTTCAGCACCTCCAGAAATGCAAGGAAATGAGAATTATTATAAAGGAGCTGCAGGGGGACGATGCAGCTATGAGAAGCTAATAAGAGTTTGTGTTGTTAAACACAGTAGTATAACACAGTACAAGATAACAGATGTCAATATACTTTATATTATTATCCAGCATGGTATGACGGCTATCGATATTGTTAGAGGTGTCCACACTAAACTCCAGTTATCGGAGCACGTGTACGGAACAGCCCTGACAGTTCCTACTACGTGAAAGCTAGCCGGTGTTATCAGGTAGTACCTACCTAGTATAGTACTACATAGTATAGTGCAAAGTAGATAATGCTTTTCAACCAGTTTCACCAAAACTGTTGTCCGGGAAAATGTAAAGAAAGGTGGCATTTTATTATTCGAGAGTTATGGTAAATGGATGGTAATGTATAACAGACCCCTCCCCCCCCCTCTATAACAGAGGATACTATATAATATATAGTGTATATTGTATAGTATCGGGGTAATATAATATATGGATGTTTAGTGTTTACTCGTAATATGTAGAAATAATATACAGCGCTCCAAGACTAGGTTAGGGAATAGGGGTCCCCCTAGCTAGTCTAGGGGGAGGGGATTTGGAAAATATCGTAATTTCAACACAATAGATGTGAGGTGTAATTAAGTGGATTACGGAAGGGAAGGGGAGGGGGGTTTGAAAAGGTACAAATCGGGCTTATGTAATATGTGGTCCCTTACCAAGATGGCTGGGTGGGCGTTCACAAGAGCAGTGGGAATGAGTTAAATGTAAAACGTCAAATATATCAGCTCAATATCTCAAGAAACATTTGTTATAAACCCCCTCTTATTATACCAAATGAGGATTGTGAGATTCGATCTTCCAGTTTAACGGCAGGAAAATAAGCCACCAGTCGCTCTTTGAGTACTTATAAGAGTTAAGTAGCATATTATTATAATAAGGGGTGATGTTATAAAGAATTGGACTGCTTTGCGATGGATCGTTGATCCTCTACATAATCTAGGATTTTAGATATCGAAAATCTGGTAAGTTTACTTATTTGTATCCTTAGTATCCAATGAGTATGTATATAAAGGCTTTTCCACACTTTAAAAAGTCAGATTGAATATATGCTGCACATGCTCCCTTTTTAATTATGCGATCGCTAATTGACTTGGGCGATATATGCAACTATGTCTCAGTATTTAGTTGAGAGCGGTTTAATACTTGGCAGTTGGCAACCTAGTTCTGTTTTATACACCCGGTTCAGCTGCTAGGTTGTACAAGGATTGAAGCTTATAAGAAATCGTGCATTATTGGAAATCAGAATCCTTATCTGTGTATGGAAGAGAATTTAAAACAGCACAATTTTTTGCATCAACCTGAAGTAACTTGTTCACAAAATTAAATACTGAATAACTCAAATCACAACAGTCAAGCCGAAGTCTACAAATTATCAACCAATAGTAGCACTAGCAGGTGGAAAGAAAACGAACTATATAAAATAAAATGTAATAGAATTCACAAACAGCTTTGAACGACGAGTTCGGTGCGGACTGAGCCGTCGGCAGTAATGACCGAACTGACTTCCGTAAAAGTAATAAATATTAGTAATTGATACATATTACATAGTAAGTAATACATAATAAGTAATACATATTAAGTAATACATAATAAGTAATACATAATAAGTAATACATATTAGTTAGACAGTTTAACAGAAAAGTTCATTAAAATCTGCAGAATTCTGTGACTATAAACTTCTTGAAACGACTCTAGCTTATACTCTGCAGCCAGGTAGTAAATATTCTCAGAACGCTGACAATTTTATCAGCAAATCACTATCAGAGTTCAGACGGAGCGTGATTTGAGGAGCTGAGTGATGATAGATTTCACGGTCCTTTAAAAATCAAAGAAAACTGAGCGCAAAGTACAAAGGTAATGAGGCCCGCGTACAAACTTTATACCAACAAGTAAAACTTATCAACCAGCTTATACCTACCATCTCATAAAAAGAAACAGCTCTCAAAGGTGGAGGAGGAGAATAAAGGATTACAGGCCGCAACAACCCATAGAGCACAACTAATTGCAGAGCTTACAGACATTACAAGGACGCTGTGCAGTGTATTAGCTGTCCTGTTAGCTCTGATAAGTTGTCAAGAGACAATCTAACAAGCTTCCAACGCTTGACAGGTACTGAACAACAAGTGAAACAGTTCGAACAATTAATAAGCCTAATTTCATCAACGAGACTTGGATGTGCATATTGAGATTTGAGCAAAGAGTAAAGATGTGTTGTGACGACAAAGCTTTCACAAAAACAATAGCAGTAAGTCTTAGAAACACACGGGAGTGAAGCCGCTAAAATGTGAAAGCTTTTGTCTCAGAAATATGAGATATAATATTTGAGGGAAACGAGGGGATGAAACATGAATTTAGCAGAATGGTGTAACTGTGAGAACAGGTCAGGATGGAGCCGTTTGAGCAGCCAGGTGGTTCAACCTGTTATAACTTTAGATCAAGTAAGATAATATTCAAGTAATATCTACGACATGAATGTAGGTTTGAAAAACGCTGAATTATCAATCATATTATACACCAGATCACAGAACTGTTGAACTGATGGACTATTATAATAACAAATAACGGAGTAGTTCGCTGTTTATTAGTCTCATGATTGAAATACTGATATCTGGATATCACAGTAGAGTAGAACAGCACACGATAGATTTTCAGAGCATCGAAGAGCAGTCAACAGGCCTTTAACCTATCCTGAAAATGCGTTGGCTGCTCATTATTCAGAGTTTCACGATAACATAGAACCAGATATTTCCTTCGATATTTTAGAAATTAACTTATATAGCACCATTAAACGTAAAGTGACAGAAGCTTACTACATTAATTTATTTAAACCTAGTATCAATAACAAAGAAGAGTGCGAGAAGCTTAAGGGATTTCTTTTACAACATATTCAAAGACAAATTTAAACAAATAGCACACGACCCTGCTGTTCAGTAGATATTATGTACTTGGACAGAGTGTAAAACGTGTGTACATCACTATTTTCAATGTAATGTACAATACCATTTGATGTAACCTGTATTCAGTGTGTGTAATTTTAATTTAGCATTTTAACTAGTATAGAAGCATTTATTATATACTAACATTTATAACAATTTTAGCCTGAAGATGGCGTTGACGCCGAAAATTTGCCCTTACTCCTAACTTCCTTGTTTCACAATTGTCCTTGTCTCTTCCAACCGGATAATATCCAGATATCAGTATTATAATAACGGGCTACACGGACTACACCCTTAACCATGATAATATAATATGCAAGTAAGGCAACATGTATATTGTATCCAATGAGCAAAGGTGATATTTCCCTCATTCTCTCATTAGAATGCGCCAAATTGAAAGTAGGGCAGAACTGTTATCTCAACCGGCACTCAAAGTAGTGCAAAGTTTACCGGCAATTAATACAGCCTTGCTGTCTGGGTAATGCACCAAAGTCCTCAAAATTATCGATATTACCGCAAAAAGGATGGTGCATTTATGAATGTCCATAGCTTTAATGCACTAGAATGGTTTTATCGTTACAAAAAAAGACGGAAGATTCGTGTTTAGATAAATTTTCGAGTAAATGGTGTCCCTCTTATATTAAGGGCGCGCTTTCAGAAATGCTCGGTGATCAGCTCATCCTTTTGTTGCTTAAGATTGTATAACATATGGGTCTTTGAGTTTGCTGACGTATGAATGTGTATTAATCCTAAAATGTTATAAAAATTGTAACAATATAATCGTACTGTTAAAACTACCTGGAACCTCTTGTTATATGATTAGGATTAACACACGGTAACCAGCTGGGTGTAGGATTAGGAATGATTTTCTTCGAAAAGGGGCCATTTCGCCCATTAGCTGCAAATGGCCAAACTTCACTGCAGGTAACGAAGCTGCCAGTGGTAAAATTACAAAGTTATCTGAGAAATATCTTTTAAAATGTCAAAATTTTTGTATTTCCTAAACAATTAACAAAGGGGCCGGATAAGGCAAAAAAGTTGTCCCCTTTTTGCCCCTTCGCTGCAGATGGTCTAACTACATCACAGAAATCTTAACTGCAGATGGTAAAACTACACAGTAATGTGAGAAATATCTTTAAATGTGTCAAAAATGTATTATTTTCTTAGCAAAGGGGCCAAATGAGGCAAAAAATTTGGCCCCTTTTCTCCCCTTTCCCAGATTTCATGGGGGACAGTCGCCCCCCCCCCCCCGCTTCCTGAACCCCTGACGGTAACACGAAAGATTATAAACTGCTGCGAAATTCGCGAAATTTAAAAATCTATGAATGTGAAATTTGATCAAATTTGGACAACTTTGATTATAACTAGAACCTAATATGGCCTAAATATTAAAAATCATTCCATCACATGCTAAACTTACGGTTATAAGGAATAGCCCCGCAGTTGAAGAGTTCCCACATTGTCACCCCAAAGGACCAAACATCAGCCTGCTTTGTCAGAGTCTTCGTCACAAAAACTTCTGGAGCCATCCACCTGCGTGGTGTATATTTTGGGTTTTTGTTGCTTGGGAATGGGTTGCGAGGCATTTAGGGTCATTTTTCTAAAATGAGTGCTTATTATGGTTGGGCACCACTTAAAACCGTTTATGAATATTCCAGGCAGATGACTTCAGATTTGGAAAATACAGACAAAAACGATATGTTTAAAGTCACTTTTTAAAACTTGTTTGTTTTCTTTTTAAAGATTTTTTCATTTAATTCTGGTTAAGTCTGTCGCTGTAATACCAATATCACATAAGTATATTCGCCATACAAATGAGATATCATATCGTTAGCATCTAAGAATCTTTTTGTATTATAGAGAATATTTCAGTGTAGTTAAGAGAGAGGACTGGAAAGGCAGATGCAGAAAGAGAGTTGGGCAGGGACGGAAAAGAAAAAAAAGGCGTAAAGATTAATTCATTCCGTTATAACATCTAACATCTATAATATCTATTCGATATTGATATGATTGTTTTCATATCAAGATTTGCCATAATTAAATGGACAAGATAGGGGAGGGACATGCCTCGTTCGTAAGTTACTTTGTTCTTATGTCAATTACGCTGCAACATTTTGCATTGTGATGCAAAATAAAGCGCTAAAGACTCTCAGACTGCTTTAAAGTTTTACAATATATCATGTAATAGTAGTTCCCCCAATAATACAACAACTGTCAAATGGATTCCTCCCAACAAGATCTGTGACAACATCATCGACTGCTCGAATGGACTGGATGAGTTTCAGACTTGTACCAATGGGGCCATTTCATCCATTAAAGAGTGATTTACATTATGACTGCTTTTTCTGGGGTTAAAATGCTCGTTCTGAATTTGGTTGTCGGGACACAGTGTTTTAAGAAAATCCCCGAGTCGCATGCTGGAAAGAATGACAGAATACTCTGTCTCCAAGTCTTCTTTTTTGACAGTCTCATGGGAATCTACATTTGCTCAATCACTCTAGCATCCATAGTGCTGGAGATCAAAGGAGATTACTGCTTATTTGATCAAGATTGGATATCCAGCATCTTCTGCCCGATACTTGGCTCAATATTTTCGGTTGCTTCCCATGGTTCTCTTCTAACTATCACTTTTATGAGTCTGGTCAGATGTCTTATCTGTACAAGAACTGTTATTGAAATCAAACATTCAACAATTATTTTTGTCTCGGGAACTATTGTCGTGTTCCACCGGGGGGGGGGGGGGGGGGGGTAATGACTACCAATGGAGACTTTTGGGGACTAATGGGGACTAAAAATCATGGGGACTAGAGGTCAACTCGTTGACGTAATTCACCATTTGTCCCCATAAGTCCCAGAATTTTTGACAGTTATTTATGGTTTTCAAGTTAGTTTAATAACGATACGATCGAGATGTTTTGTCCAAGATAAGAGTAGGATAAATCTAAATGGGGACTAATAGAGACTTTTGGGGACTAATGGGGTCTAAAAATCATCTAAATGGGGACTAATGGAGACTTTTGGGGACTAATGGGGACTAAAAATCATGGGGACTCGGGGTAAAATCGTTGACGCAATTCCCCAAGTCCCCAAAAGTAGTCATTACCCTAATGAATGAATGAAATCTAAATAACATTACCTCCAATAAAAACATATTTGATCTTTTGGAGATCGGATACTATGGTAACAGTGCAACGTTTTCAAAACTCAAGATTCTTACTTTTTGTATAAAGTGGCCTACTGCACTATTATACCCTTCTCATCCTATTTTTCATCTTGATAACAACATACGCTAAGATCATGCACAGCAAGTTCATCTCAAGAAGGAGGGATGCTGAGGCTGGTGGGAACATGCCAGATCAGAGTATTGCATCTCTGGGGGTCAAAGTTTTCCTGATAATCGGAACCCAGGCTGTCAGTTGGATGTCTTTCATCGTGACCATGATTTATTTTCAGTTTACCACTGAAAAACCTGGGCCCATTATTTTAGAGATTTTTTCGTTGCTTGTTATTCCGATAAACATTGTTCTGAATCCTATATTTTACAGTGGCCTCTATGGAAAACTGACGACACATTTGTGGACATCGTGGCGTTATCTCGTCTCAAAAATAGTTCATGAGCCCTCCCATCAAGTTAATGGGCAGGATATTTCATATTTCACAAATTGATGGATTTTCTCGAGGAGATGGCGAAGGAGATAATACGGATACTGCTTTAGAAGAAGACCATCCGAACGTTCGGGTTTCTGCCACTTTAAGGCTTTCACCAGAAAATAAGGACACAATTATCAAAAGTACCGATCTTACCGTCCCTTGTACACATCATGAAGGACCAGATCTGCACCATTTAAATAATGATCTATTTGAGTGTGAGCACCTTTCTGACCTGGATTACTCTGCTTCTACTGGCAGCACTTTAGAAAGATGTGGCGCTAAAGAATTGACGGAAACGGTTGATTTTGAAATGAAGGCACGAGTTGACGAGTTGGGATTGAGAACCCTAATTCAAAACATGACCATCAAGAGCAAGTCACAGCGCTTCCAACGTTCCAGAGGAGGAACTTGAAGAGGCATCACGTGATTATTATCTGCCAGAACAAGTTGTAATTGTAAATGAAACAGTAGCAAGGCTTTCGGAATAAACAAGCACCGTGGAAGGAATAAGGATGTAGTTAGATCTAATGTTTGTCCCATAACACAGACACTAACGATAGATAAAGTAATTTATTACGTGTCCAAATATTATGTTTATCTGAATTTCTTTCACAAACTGTCTAGAAAAGTATAAATCCATCAAAATTAATTGATCAACGATAGAAAATAATAATACATGAGATTCCAGATATTGAGTAACAACTCACTACATATCACAACAATGCACACTATACATTGTACACTGTACATTGTACACTGCTAACCTCGGGATGGCGTTGAGAGCGTACTTGTCCTCAAACGCTAACGAGAAACAGTTGATCTTCAGGTTGAGGTGCCCCGTAACAAATACCTGTGTTAAAGATTACCTGCTATTGATGACAGTAACAATTACAACCTACTCGAGAATATGATAGATGGCAGATACAACAATCACCGACCATCTTAATGGCTTAAACCACCCAGACCGCGCCAAATATCTGACAATCTGTCATTTTCTTGTTAAGATTATGTGCAGTGACATGTACCTACGTTAAACGAACAGAGGCTGCCGTGGATGTAGTTCCGTAGATGTAAAAACTCCATTCCTGAAATAATACGTCTCTCTAAATTACTCAACTGGGACAAATCAAGTTCCGATCTTGTAAATTTGTTAACTAATTGATCGATCTGACAGTTACAGCTCAGATGGACACACGGTAGTCGGCCAAGTACGTTACAATGAGATATTCCCCCGGACTTTTTCAAAGTGTGATATTTCAGCGGGGCAAGTAAGTTATCTGTCTTAATCGCAAATATCAATTCCAGATTACTAATTAGCAAACCATCTGACAGTCATTGGTAAGTTCCTAAAATTTGAAGATAATGACCTACCAAGACATATCTGCCACATAAGGAAGTACAGTGTGAGAGCTGAGAGTGGGGTTTTTCGACTCTCCATCACTATCTTGGGGTACGCAAACAGGTTCCTCTTACGCTGTAAGGAGTTTATACTCTCTGATGAAGTTTGGATTAGAGACACAAGTTACTAATCGTCACTAAGAAAAAATAGAGTGACGAATAAATTAATGGCAATATTTATTGAACTTACATAACTGAATAAGCAGCTAAACAATAAAATTCATTATTCATAGAGTGAGATTTATTTTATTCGAAAGGTTCTTCAATTCATTTTTTAAGCTTCCTATCGACTGCTCTGAGTTAGATTAAAAATCTCGCTAATAACTCCTTAGATGGTATATATGTTAATTTTATATAAATGACATGCATTAAAAACAATCCTCATGTCGGTTTTGAAGCACGTACCTGGAGATCGCATGTTGCTGAAAGTGTCGTCATCGTCACTAAACCCTCTGTAGTCGTAGAACGTCTTGTAGGAACTGTACGACAGATAGTACTTTAGGGTACCTGTGAAAAGAGCAATGTCAAACTAAATGATACATTTCGGTCTTCTAAGGGTGGATAATGGGTAATAGATAAAGGATGAGTAGTGAGTACCGGAGATATTTTTAAAACAAAGTTAAATATATACAAAATAGTATTACAATTCATGTACTTTAAATGGTATCATTACCCAGTCCATATGGTTTTGATACTTTCGGATACCTTAAGTCACTGGCAAGTGCCCAGATTGTCGTCAAAAATTCGTTTCAAATAGTAAGTTTATAACCGGATTTCTCAATTAGAGACTAGACTCCTTGGTTATGCTATCAAGAACAAGCTCAATGAGGTCAGATCCCTTAGCCAGGTAAACTCAGAAGAATCGGACCAAACCCCCATGCCACTAAAGGAACGGACCACCTTGAGAAAGCATTTTGACAAGAAAATCAGTTTCTACAAACTCCAAGAGAAAGAGAAGTGGGACCATTGGCCACGCAAGACTTCGGATATACTTAGAGTTTTGAGTGACCGAAAAGACAAAAACTATAAAAGACGTGAGAACCAAAGACACCGAAGAATAGAAAAAGAAGCTCGAAAGGCCTTAGACGAAGGAAGTGTCGTGGTACTAGTGGATGTGGGAGAAGAAATTCCACTTGAAGCGATAGCAATTTGAACAAAGGGCTAGGTTTTGTACCAACCCCAAAGGTTGACACGGAGGAGGCTCGTCTGGACATGCGCTTAACAATAAACAGAATCGTAACTGCCTCAACAAGAAGCCTCAACAGCTCACCTACAACATCATGTGAGGACATATCAACGCTTGATTTGGAACAGACCGCCCCAACTGGACTACCTCCACAACTATCAAGGAAGTACTACGGAAGAAAGCCCCCAAGTGAGGACCAATCCATCAATGAGATTACAAACACCATGGCAGCGGACTTAGATCAGCAACTCATTAGAGGACCTAAAACTAATCTACAGCCAAAAAACCTCAACAAGATGGAGTCCCGTGGCCTCAAATGGTTAGAAAGAATGATCAAACATGAAAAACTTGCAATAGTTGCAGCTGACAAAGGTGGAGCCGTGTTACTAGTGGACCCAGCTATGCTAAAGCGAAGAACACAGGAAAAGCTCGACAACCCCCTATTGTATAAAAAGCTCGCTAAAGACCCTACGCAAGACCTACACCAGGAACTATTTGATTTATGGATCGAGGGAAAAAAGAAAAACTTTGTTACACCAAAAGAAGCTAAAGACATCATGGGTATTACCAACAATCTAAACAGTGATGGTACAGTTACTAACAACAAGAGTACTTCTTCCCACTTCAAACCTGGTAAAGCTTATTTCTACCCCACCCTAAAGATCCACAAGCTTCAAAAGGAAGACCTTAAACCAGGAGTCGAACCCCCCTTCAGGCTCATCACGGCACTCCAGGATGGGATCACAAAACGCAGTGATGTTTTCCTTGCTAGCCAATACCTGAAGGATCTTGAAAAAGATTTCTGCTCTGACCTTTTGACTGATAGCACTGATGCCCTTCAATGGTTGGATTTCGTGGATAGTGAACATTCCCTAGTACAGAAGAAAGGCTTCAGATCATTTACCTACGACTTTAAGGCCCTCTATGATTCTCTAACACCACCCCTCGTCATAGAGGCCCTGAATTCCGCTATGTCATCATGCAGAGAAGATTGGTCTGAAGATTTCTGCAAATGGCTCATCAAATTGGTGGAATTGAGCCTGGTGTTCGATCAAAATTGGTTCATACAACTCGTCGGTATCCCTACGGGTGGATCACTATGTGTCCAAATCGCAAACATAGCAGTCTACTACCTAATGAACAAATGTGTTTATAGTAACCCAGAGCTCATGAATAAGATCGTATCAGCCAGTCGTTACATTGACGACGGAGCAGGTTTGTTTGAGGGAACTACAGATGAGTTCAAAATTTGGATTGCAGATGTTAACAAAGCACTCCTCTCCCATGGCCTAATCATTGAAGAATACCAAATAGAAGATCCTGGTAAATACGTATCTTTCCTTGACATAATGTTCACCTTCGATTCCTTAGGATCCCTCCAAACGGATTTGTTCATAAAGCCAACAGACTCTCGTTCATATCTACATTTTAAAAGCTCCCACCCTAACCATATCTATTCCGGTATCGTGTACTCTCAATGCCTTAGACTCAGAAGGATCATCAACTGCCAAGAACGCCTGAAAGAACATCTCAACAACCTTAAAAAAGCCTTCCTTGCCGCATGTTACCCTAGAAAAATGATTGAGAACATCAGTAATAAGGTCCTTAACACAGCAAGATCACTGTCACGCAAAGTTCAGGCTCCTGATGACCAGACATCATTACATCTTCCAATCAGGGTCATATCTACTTATGGTAGTGATGATGATCTGGTGTCTGTGACCAAGAAGTATGAAGAACACCTCTCAAGAACGAGGAGTTTCAGTGAAAGTGACACTGCTGAAACATCCCAAGAGACCTCCTCAACATCCGCCACACCTAGGAAGACAATTTTCAGTTACACAAAGAAAACAGGGCCAAGCCTAAAATCTCGCCTCGTCAAATTGAAAGAACTTGCTTTAGGAGCTCAACATGGCCCAACCAGCAAATGCAATGTGCCAAGATGCAAATGTTGTGAACTTGTCAAAGGCACCCGTGAATTCAAAGTGAACGGCAAGAAGGTTAAAGCTTCCCCTGGAAACTGCCAGAGCTACAACATCATTTATCTGTTCCAATGTAGTGTCTGTGGAAAGGCTTACGTCGGCCGCACAACTCGATCTCTACGGGTTAGGACTGGAGAACATAGGGTCAAATATTATAAACTTTTAAATGGTGATAAGGTAGATGAAACAAGTGATGAATATAGTTTGGGTTTACATTTGTTGGATCATGGTTTTAGACAAAGGGAAGATTTTAACAAAATTTTTAATGTGTCAATTATTGATAATTCTAGTCCTAAAACTTTGGATGTCCGTGAACATAAATATATTCAACTACTCAAGACTTTAAAACCTTTGGGAATTAATACTATAAATCCTTTTGGCCTTCCATTACTCCTAACATCTTAATTCTAACTTTATAACCGTTTTAAGAGTGTCCAGATTTTTAAAGGAATTTTGGGTTTTACTAACTTTTTACAATTTTTAGGGCTTATGTCACTGAAGATGACGCCTTGCAACATGTTTGACGATAGCCTGTAGATTGATAGTTTGATCTCAGTATTTACAACAATTCATCTAGTTTGATTGATTCAAAGGGAAACAAATTCCTCTATAACCGGACTATATCTTATTTCCGTTGCTGTATATTCATTTGCCTACCTAAGTTACAAAGAAACCCATGTAGTTGCACAAAAATGCACTGAAATTGGCGGTATTTGATCAACTTCATACTTTCATATAAGCAAATAATTCTTCACAGAATGTCCGTCAAAGCAGTTGCTAATTGTTGACAGAATCAGTACGTCTAGAATTTGTGACGCCAGGAAGGCGGAAAACATCTTATCGAGTAAAGAGTGAGAAATTATACCGGTAAAAGGTACATGGCTCGTTTGGACAGCTCACAGCTGTAAGGGGTGGCTCCTTAGATAAAGCTTAAACATTCCTCCATCTTCAGGAGGACGGACGGAATAAGAATAAGCCCCAGCGGACTCTACAATCTCTGGACTGCTTAAGATAAGGACACTTATTCAATATTCAATCTTCGTACTCTAAAATGTACAAAATAATCCTCATCTTAAACGATAATAGATTTGTCAAAATCAACACAGCTTTCCTCACCAAATTGGGAGAACTCGATGACAGAGCAAGCCCCAGAAGGGGTGTCGTAAGTCCCATAAAACGCAGCCACATGATCATGTTTATCAAGTCTTCTCAGAGTTTCCAAGCTGTTAAGATAGATCTCTTTAGAGACTGACGATATGTCTGATTTCATCTGTAGAATCATCACCTGGGTTTTTGGTATGTGAACTAATCAGGGTTATACATTATACATTATACAATATACATAAAAATATATATTGGGAACAAGTAATGAAATGAGCGGAGGAGTAGAATGTTTCAAGAATGTTGTGACATTATTGCGAAAAAGTTACTAAGTTTTTTTCAAGACCACATTTCTTCCTCTACCAAGAATTTGTTTGTCAACCTCATACCGTAACCTTACATTATCATAACCGGTGAATAAGAGCTCAAATAGAAACTTACAGCATCAGAATCAATATGAGATAGCTCAAGTCTCTGTTTAGGTTTGGATCCTATCATCAACTCGAAGTGAGTACCAGATTTAATAACTGGTGAGAGGGAGAAGAACGACTTCTTCAGCTCCAGAGTCACATTATCTAGATACATATCCCGTGTTTTCGTTTTGGACCTGAAAAGTAACGAATTTATCGAAAGTAAACTAACGCCCTGAATGATAAACAATCAACTGAAAACCGCAATTTATTTTTTTCATCCATACTAGCTACAAATCACATAAGTTGACTAAAGTCGGAAAAAACAAGAATGTGACAAATAACAAAGACAAATCAATGACAATTGGCAAATTGTTACAGCGACAAATCTTACCCGAAGACACCGTACGCTCTACAAAGACAGAGTCCCAGGCCAATGGCTAAGAGGATCACCGCCACAGACACGGATATAATCACTACCAGTGTGGTATCCGCCATATCTCACAGTGACAACGAGACAATGAAACTGATCCAGTAGTGTTCAATCCCAGAACCCTTGTCTCTTTTATTGAGTAGCGACAAGTAGAAGGAGGCTGGAAGTGCAGCACGAGTTTGAAGTTCAAGGATTAGGTTGTCTGACTAGAGGGTAATGACGATCATAGGGGACTTGGGTGTGTGGATCACTTGTGAGTCATTGTACACCTTTCTAACATCATCCTGACCTGGGCGAGGGGATGTTTGAGTTATTTATATCTTACTACATCTCAATTGACGTCATGTCATCACAACGATTTTAATGCGGCAATGAATCTCAAACTTTGAATATAGTTACTACGTACTTGGGTAATGATAATCTAATTTTAATTTTTAATATATCATTAGCAGTTTGAATGAGTGATATTTTGTACAATATAATAGTGGTGCATGATATTCGACTCAACCGAATTCGTTAAATAAACAAATTTTCGAAATTTGCTGCACAACATCCAAAAAAGCATTAAGTTTGCAGAGTTTTAATCGAATGAAAAGTAAGGCACACATGTCAAGGTGTGAACTGTAAAAGTTCTACAGAATCAGAGGAACAATAACAGCGTATTCTGAATTCTGATAATAATCATTCCATGATAAATGACCGTGGTATCCAGCCTCATCGCCCACAAAATATCATACCAATTATATGTTTGACCACCCCTACCACCTCTCAAAGTAACAAGACAAAAATGGACAATCATCTAAAAAGTAAAAACATTAAACATATCGTATCAACAATTGCATCTTTTACAATGTAACTGATATCGTCAATAAGTATAACTAAACGATCGGATATAGTTTCCTGTTTGGTTACAAAAAGTTAATCCGAGCGAATTATAAGGGCCCGAACATCCATAGCCGATAGGACAGAACTCAAAGAAACGGACGATAATTTTGTTTCCGCTAAATCTTTATAACTCGGTCTGGCACCTTGAAATATAATTTGCCGTAAGTATGTGATAATAAAGTAACCAAAGAGAGATAGGTTCATCGTTACACTAGACCTGAATTCCACAAAACTTCCGCTAATAGTGCAAACCTTTCATGATCTCGTCACCTCCGTAATCCATTCCAGCTCATTCCTGGTGCTCGTTAGCTGATGTAGTATTCCTGGACACCGAAGGGTCCCCATTTACATGATAGGGTTATCGTTTATAGGTCACAGAGTAGTGCGAATTGAAATGTTTAATTACTGAACCTTTTATCAGCACCGGTTAGGGCCGCCAATATGGTGACGGAAGTCCTACAATCAGACTACCACTGAGAATCGTCCATCAATTTACAAAGGTAGAAATATGCGACAACATTTTTGTTCGAATTGGTTGTTCCGAGCTGTTCCGAACTGTGTATCATGGTTTGCCACCACTTAACTGATCAGATATTACCGTTCACCGTACGTCGCAAATTGTAGACAGTCGTTCGTGCGATTCTATCTGGAAACCAATCGCAACACTCCGTTAACCGGGGGCGGGGTTTTAGACCGTTTAATATTCGCCAAAATTATTGGTCCTCTGAGAAGTTGCTAAAGATCGAACATCATGATAAAAGAACAATATCTTTGTTGAGCCGTTATTTCACTATTTTTAGCATTTAAAATGCTGTTCCACTGACATTATAGGTATTGATATTACTAAATAGTAATATAAGTATTACTTACTATATAAACTTACTATATAAACGGTATACTTACAAAAAGTCTTCATTTTATATTCTGCAATCTGCATGAATACAATCTCTGAACTGCAGTAAACCAAACATTTTGTTGTTGCATTAAAAAATGTTAAAGAAATATGTTCAAAGAATACATATCATGTGATCAACTTTTCCTTACATATTATTATGTGATCAAGTATCAACTTGTTCTACATGTTTGTTTTCAATCTAAAGCCCGACCTTAAATAATCAAGATGCAAGAAACATCTTAAACATGCTAAAACGTAGACCAATTAATTACAAAACCGATTTCTCAGGAATCATACTTGACAGTACACGTCAACCGCGTAATTCCGTCTGTTGCACAAATTTCTCGTGATTAATTTCTCGTTAAACAACACAAGTTTGCCTATATATAACAGTTGAGCCGATAATTGATATTCATTTTCACGGAGAACTAACTACCTGGCAGCTAAGAAGGGGGCCTCGTTACGTCTGTTTTGTTTGCTTAGTCGTGAACACAAGTGGGCCAGGTCTGGTCTGACTAATGAACTGTACGGCTCGTATTATCCTATTGTATTTACAAAATGGATCATATGTTTGCACTAATAACTTCTTAAATTATATGATAATGGATCCAGTGTGCGTGGTGTTGTGGCCGGAGGAATGTCGTTGTTAATTTAGCAAACTTGATTAATTCCAATTGTCACTCTTCGCAGCTGTTTTGTCTCCGTTTCAATTGATCTCGATTTTTGACAAATTGTTTGCAGCTGGTTTTCTGTTTAAACGAGTTTTAGTTATGTTAATTTGCGTTAATTATGTTAATTAACGTTCTGGTGAATCAATATAACGGCGCTTAACAAGGTGGTTAGCGTACAAAGTCGAGCAAGTATTTATTCATATTGGGCGAGCACATATAATCGGTGCCCAAAATACATGCTATACATAGAATGTAGGGCACAATCATTATCGGATACTCAACATGAGCATATGATGCATAATTTAGAGCACTAGGCAGTAGGCAGGAGTGAATATTAGAGCAGACGAAAGTACGGGACGGCATTCAGATAGAACTAAAATACAATAGCGTGCAACGGATTGTCGGTTGCAAGGGTACAATAGTACAGCGAGTAGGAACACAGATCATGATGACAAATTTGAGAAGTTCAACATTCCAATCTCCTCTGTTGAATACCGTCCTGGTAATTTAAATCAAGTTTTGAATTTCAGGGCTAAAAATTAACAAGGTTAAACCAGTCTTGGCATTAAACATAAACATGGTCCATACTTAAAATTCCATTCACGGAGGCGAAAATTTAATAACATGGCCGATAATTGTTACCAAATTTCTGTAATTGGAGAGACCTGAGACCTGAACTGCTATAAACTGATATCTCCAAGCCAGGAATGTCAGCTAGAAAGTGTATTGTTTTTTGGATCAAAATTTGGAAATCTTGACGAAAATTAGAGCAGAACATGGAAACAGAGTAGACTTTCTAAATTTTTCAACAATTTCAAAATTGAGGAAAACGTAGACGACGAATTAAATACAGGCCTGCAAGTCACTAACTATATGTCGCACTGACAACTGACATTGGATATACATTGCACAGTTCGGACAGTACAGATGAATTATAGACTAGATAATTATATATACTGAAAACAGACAGCGACAACTGATGACGATCAGAACAGGTAACTAAAACTGATATCGAATGCAGACAGCAAAGTCTATTACTTCACACGACTGACATTTTAAATGTTCTGATTGAGAAAAGTCTCCACAGCGCTCACTTCCCACTGAAAGTAGCACGGTTCTTAATTATTATATTCATCATTATCACTAATTATGTAATTATGTAATATGTAAATGATTAGACCTAGAATAGAGTAAGTAGATAATCACTCAACGATACTCTGTGATCACTACGTAAATCAAATAATTATCACTATACGTGTGATATTAGGTAATTCACAAATAAAATGCATCGTTACCCTTTTTAGTTTTTACTCGGCAATTCGGTAATGTAGCTACGCACGGTTAAGGCACGGTTAAGGCACGGTTAAAGCACAGTTAAGGCACGGTTAACTGTGCTTTAACCGTGCCTTAACCGTGCCTTAACCGTGCCTTAACCGAGCCTTAACCGAGCCTTAACCGTGCGTAGCTACATTACCGAGTTGCCGAGTATTTTACTCTTAATAAGAAGGCTGGACAATTTTCAAAAGTAGATCGACAACTAAATAAATTTAAGGATCTAATAAAATAATTATTTAAGATGGTATACCAGTTGAGAGGACAGATTGATAGTGTGTCAAAAGAACTACAAAATATTGGGTCATATAATGAAACCATATCAATACTTTAAATTAGTGAAGATTACAGTAGACTCTGCAAATTCAAGTTAAGTTCCGGGACTTTGATAGAATTATTGAGCAGCAACAAGGGACTAAACGGTGGTGGTGGTGCTTGTCAAAATTTAACGGCAGTATGGTGTTAAGTGGACTGAATTTTAAAACTTACATGACAATCAACTTCAGAATGCTAACTGAACCTAATTTCTACAGAAAGGAAGAGAGGCAAACTAAAAATATTGAAAGATCTGAAAAGTTTGCAACAACAACTCCGGGTGGCCCCAAAATCACCCGACCTCAAGTGAAAGAAGTTAGCAAATTATAAAATTTACAAGGCTGTGTGACAGAGAGGGCCAGCTAGGAGCAGTGTGGTTGTTTATTAAAACAGCGGGTTGTGTCTGACTTGGTAACAACACAAATCTCTCCTATGGTACAGATTAATTAAAATTTTAAATTAGGAGGATGGCCGACACCACAACAGGTATTATATAAATAAGCTGAGCCCGGATGTAAAGCTTACTTTCACCAAACTACCAGCTGTTTGACCTAGGTCAGACCTCATTTCTAGATGTTACTTCAACTAAATTACATATGTCGACTAAATTACACATCTTGGATTTTAACAAAATGGGAACCACATAAAATTCTCAAATTAATTACTCTGCAGATCATGTCAGCCCTCGACTGACAGTTCGATTAAATCGAGGCATATCAAAATTAGGGAAATTTGATGGAACAACGTCGAAACTGTCATTATAATGCTAATTCCTTTATCTATCAGCTTCTGTCGATCAGAGCAACCAAGAATATCAGCCAGCCAATCAGCTCCTTAGTAACGTGGGGTGAAGTTGTAAGGAATGAACAAAAACGTGGTTTTGTCAAATTCAATGCATTTAAATTATTAAAATAGGCGGAATACACACGTCAGTAGAACCAACCACCCACCACAACCTAATTTAAAGAGGTCACGCATAAACAATAAAGGTGATGTGTTTAAAACTTGTTTTAAATTCACGGTATGATACTATGATATTCATGACGCATTTAAGTGATTTTATTGGCATATTTATAGACCGAGCTGCTGAGAGGAAGTTATTTTGACACAAAGACTCTATCAATAGAGAAGGTGATTAATTTATAGAAACTCAGAGAAGTAATGGGCTTGATTTTAATCTGGCGACATAGACC